ACACACACACCTCACACACACACACATATATATTGTGTGTATGTGAGTATAAAGAGAAAGGCAAGAGAAAAAGAAACATGATTTTTTTGTCTTCATCTTCAAAAAAATGAGTAAAATAAAACATCACTCTGAGGCGAAGAATCACCCTCACCATTTTCCTTTCTTTCCAGACCATGATCGCCCTCATCCCGCTGGTGATGAGCCTGTCCGGCGTCGGCGCTTCCTTCCTCCTTCGTCTGCTGAGGAAGGGGATTGGCAAGAAGGTCTGGGGGTGTGGGGAGGAAGGGACTGGGGTTGGGGAAGAAGGTCGGTGAGGGAGGAAGGACTGGGATTGGGGAAGAGGTCGGTGGGACTGGGAAGGGACGGTGGGGGGTGGGGGGGAGTGGGGAGGAAGGAGGGGAAGAAGGTCGGTGGGGAGGAAGGGACTGGGGGTTTGGGAAGAGGTCGGTCGGAGGGACTGGGGTTGGGAGAAGGTCGGTGGGGGAAGGGACTGGGGGTTCGGGAAGAGGTCGGTGGGGGAGGAAGGGACTGGGGGTTGGGGAAGAAGGTCGGTGGCGGGGGGAAGGGACTGGGGTTGGGGAAGAAGGGGGGTGGGGGGGAGGAAGAATCGGGTTGGGGGAGGAAGGGTCGTGGGGGGAAGGAGGAGAGGTCGGCTGATTGGGGTTGGGGTGAAGGGTTGTTTGTGTTGAAAGCCTTTGTTGCTTTGATGTTTTTTGTTTTTATTGTTTGTTTGTTTGTGAGTGTGTGCATTTGTTTGATTTATTGTGTGCATGTGTTGTTATGTGTTTACGTGGGTTTGTATATGTTGCTAGTGCGTGTGTGTGTGTGTTGTAGATTATTTGTTTGTTTGTTTGTGAGTGTGCATTTGTTTGATTTAATGCGTGCATGTGTTATGTGTCTACGGGGGTCTGTATATGTTGCTAGTGCGTGTGTGTGTTGTGAATTGTTTGTTTTTGAGTGTGCATTTCTTTGATTTAATGTGTGCATGTGTTGTTATGTGTTTACGTGGGTTTGTATATGTTGCTAGTGCGTGTGTGTGTTGTGATTTGTTTGTTTGTTTGTTTGTGAGTGTGCATTTGTTTGATGTAATGTATGTTTGTGTTGTTATGTGTTTCGTGTGTGCCTGTGTTTGTATATGTTGCAAGTGCATGTGTACATTGTACAATGTATTTTGCACGGCATGTGTAAATGTGTTTTTCAAAAGTTAATGCCCCATACTATAGTCTGAGTATATATATATTTGCGCCAAATTGATATATTTCTTTAGATTTAAATTCGTAGGTAAAAGTTGTCAATAAAAAGTGAATAGATCACATGTATAACCACCTTGAATTTCTTCTTGACTTTTAGCAAGGAATAACATACACAAAGTAACTGCAAGATGAGATATAATGTCTATCCTAATAATATGCCAATAAGGCGGAGGTGTACCCGCTGACCCATACCTACTGACCCCTGACCAATAACCCGTAGCTAGTGACCCATACCCATTGACCCATACCCAATAACGCTTACCCAATAACGCATACCCAGTAACGAGTAACCCATACCCATTAACCCATACCCATTAACCCGTACCTAAATTAACCCATACCCATTAACCCGTACCCAAATTAACCCATACCCAATAACTCATACCCACTGACCCATACCCATTAACCCGTACCCAAATTAACCCATACCCATTAACTCATACTGACTGACCCATACCCATTAACCCATACCCATTAAATCATACCCACTGACCCATACCCAAATTAACCCATACCCATTAACTCATACTCACTGACCCATACCCATTAACCCGTACCCAATAACTCATACTCACTGACCCATACCCATTAACCCGTACCCAAATTAACCCATACCCATTAACTCATACTCACTGACCCATACCCATTAACCCGTACCCACTGACCCATACCCATTAACCCGTACTCAAATTAACCCGTACCCAAATTAACCCATACCCATTAACTCATACTCACTGACCCATACCCATTAGCCCATACCCAAATTAACCCATACCCATTACCCCATACCCAGTAATGAGTAACCCATACCCAATAACTCATACTCACTGACCCATACCCCCCCGTACCCAAATTAACCCATACCCAATAACTCATACCCACTGACCCATACCCATTAACCCGTACCCAAATGAACCCATACGCATTAACCCATACCCAACGACCCATACCCATACCCAAATTAACCCATACCCATTAACTGATACTCACTGACCCATATCCATCCATACCCATTAACCCATACCCAAATTAACCCATACCCATTAACCCGTACCCAAATTAACCCATAACCAAATGAACCCATACCCATTAACTCATACTCACTGACCCATACCCATTAACCCGTACCCAGTGACCCACACCCAATAACTCATACTCACTGACCCATACCGAAATTAACCCATACCCACTGACCCATACCCATTAACCCGCACCCAGTAACCCATACCCAATAACCTCACCCGAACGGCCTCCCTCCTGCAGCCAGCGACCGTCGTGGGCATCGTCGTGGGTCTGGTGGCGAGCACGGTGTCGGCGCTGCCCTGGATGCCCAGCTGGGCGCTCTTCTCCGTGGCGGTGCTGTGGGGCGTCTCCGGGTCGCTCCTGGTCATCCTGTCGCTCTCCTTCGCCGCGGACCTCATCGGCAGGAGCACCGTGAGTTCCTGCGGGATGGTGGTGGGGTGGGGGTGGTGGGGGTGGTGGGTGGTGGGGATGGAGGAGGAGGTGGGGGTGGAAGTGGAGGTGGGGATGGATGTAGAGGAGGAGGAAAGAGGTAGAGGAGGAGGTGGAGGTGGAGGGAGGAAGAGGAAGGAGGAGGAGGAGGAGGAGGAGGTGGTGGTGGTGGTGGTGGAGGAGGAGGAGATGGAGATGGAGATGGAGGAGGAGGTGGAGAAGAAATAGGAAGAGGAGGAGAGGGAGGGGAAGATGGAGGTGGAAAGGGAGGAGGTAAAGGTGAAGTAGGAGGAAGAGAAAGAGGAGGAGGAAGATATTTTCTTAATGTCTATATCAGTGTTTCCAATTTTTTGCTAGTTGCGACCCTACATACGTAAAATAGATAGATAGACAGACAAATAGATATACGTAGATGGATAGCTAGATCGATCGATAGACAGATATATAGATAAATAGTTGGGTATGTAGATAAGACAGACTGATAAACGGATACAAAGATACAAAGATAGACGGACAAATATGAAATACGAGATGGAAAAAGAAACAGACAAAGACGAATAGAGATACACAGCGAGGCAAACTAAGACAAAGCACAGACAGAAGACGAAACAGACACAACCAAACACAGACAAAACAGAAGGAGAAACAGACACAACAGAAAAAGACAAAACATAGACAAACAGACACAATTAAACAAAGACAAAATACAGACAAACAGATACAACAAACAAAGAGAACACAGAGACAAACAGAAGAGGAAACAGACACAACCAAAAAAAGACAAAACACACCCAAAGCAGAAGACGAAACAGACACAACCAAAAAAAGACAAAACACAGACAAAACAGAAGACGAAACACAAGAAAACACAGACAAAACAGAAGACGAAACAGACATAACCAAACAAAGACAAAACACACCCAAAACAGAAGACGAAACAGCCACACCAAAGACAAAACACAGACAAAACAGAAGACGAAACAGACACACCAACGACAAAACACAGACAAAACAGAAGACGAAACAGACACAACCAAAAAAAGACAAAACACAGACAAAACAGAAGAGGAAACAGCCACACCAAGGACAAAACACAAACAAAACAGAAGACGAAACAGCCACAACCAAAAAAAAAGACAAAACACAGACAAAACAGAAGACGAAACAGACACAACCAAAAAAAGACAAAACACAACAAAACAGAAGACGAAACAGCACAACCAAAAAAAGACAAAACACAAAACAACAGACACAAACAAAGACAAAACACACCCAAAGCAGAAGACGAAACAGACACAACCAAAAAAAGACAAAACACAGACAAAACAGAAGAGGAAACAGACAAAACACAGACAAAACAGAAGACGAAACAGACACAATCAAAAAAAGACAAAAACACAAAACAGAAGATGAAACAGAACACAAACAAAGACAAAAACACACCAAAGCAGAAGACGAAACAGACACAACCAAAAAAAGACAAAACACAGATAAAACAGAAGAGGAAACAGACACAACAGACAAAACACAGACAAAACAGAAGACGAAACAGACACAACAAAAAAAAGACAAAACACACCCAAAACAGAAGAGGAAACAGACACAAACAAAGACAAAACACACCCAAAGCAGAAGACGAAACAGACACAACCAAAAAAAGACAAAACACAGACAAACAGACAAACAGACACAACAAGACAAAACACAGACAAACAGAAGACGAAACAGACACAACAAAAAAAGACAAAACACAGACAAAACAGAAGACGAAACAGACACAACCAAAAAAAGACAAAACACAGACAAACAGACGACGAAAGACACAACCAAAAAAAGACAAAACAGGAACAGAGAACGAAAACAGACACACCAAAAAAGACAAAACAGACAAAACAGAAGACGAAACAGACACAACCAAAAAAAGACAAAACACAGACAAAACAGAAGACGAAACAGACACAACCAAAAAAAAGACAAAACAGACAAAACAGAAGACGAAACAGACACAACCAAAAAAAGACAAAACACAGACAAAACAGAAGACGAAACAGCCACAAAAAAAGACAAAACACAGACAAAGCAGAAGACGAAACAGACACAATCAAAAAAAGACAAAACAGACAAAACAGAAGACGAAACAGACACAACCAAAAAAAGACAAAAACAGAAACAGAAGACGAAACAGACACAACCAAAAGAAAAACACAGACAAAACAGAAGAAGAAACAGCACAACCAAAAAAAAAAGACAAACAGAAACACAGACAAAACAAGAAAACAGACACAAACAAAGACAAAACACACAAACAGAAGACGAAACAGACACAACCAAAAAAAGACAAAACACACACAAAACAGAAGATGAAACAGACACAAACAAAGACAAAACACACCCAAAGCAGAAGACGAAACAGACACAACCAAAAAAAGACAAAACACAGACAAAACAGAAGAGGAAACAGACACACCAAAGACAAAACACAGACAAAACAGAAGACGAAACAGACACACCAAAACACAGACAAACAGAAGACATAACAGCCACACCAAGGACAAAACACCCAAAACAGAAGACGAAACAGCCACAACCAAAAAAAGACAAAACACACCCAAAACAGAAGAGGAAACAGACACAACAGACAAAACAGAAGACGAAACAGAAGACAAAACACACCCAAAGCAGACACCTCTAAATAACGCCCAACACCTCTCCTCCGCCCACAGGACAGCTCGGCCTTCGTGTACGGGAGCATGAGTTTCGGCGACAAGGTGTTGAACGGCGTCGCTGTCTTCATGATCCAGGAACTGACTCGGTAAGTCCAATAGACGTACGTAGGTGGGCGTAGACGTACGTAGGTGGGCGTAGACGTACGTAGGTGGGCGACGACGTACGTTAGGTGGGCGTAGACGTACGTAGGTGGGCGTAGACGTACGTAGGTGGGCGTAGACGTACGTAGGTGGGCGTAGACGTACGTAGGTGGGCGTAGACGTACGTAGGTGGGCGTAGACGTACGTAGGCGGGCGTGGTCACTCGGCTTGGGTTGCCGGTGGGGGGCGTGGCTGTGGGGTTAGGGTTATCGGGGAGAATTTTGGTTGTTAAGAGTTGTTATGATGACTCTTGGTGGTGTAATTGTTATGATTATTATTGTTATTATTATTACTATTATTATTATTACTGTTATTATTATTATTATTATTATTATTATTATCATTATTATTATTATTGTTATAAATGTTATCATCATTAGTTTATCGTTCTTATTATTGCTATGAATATTATTTTTTTATTTTATTATCATTATATTTGTTATCATTATCATAATGATAATCTTTATTATTACTAATATCATTATTATCATTATTGTTATCATTATTATGATTATTATCATGATTATTTTTGTTGTTACTATTGATATTACTTAGTAGAAGTACTATTAGTCTTGTTATTTTGTATTATTGCTATTAATACTATTATTATTATCATTGTTGTTTTTATCAATCATGTTATATTCTTACAATTGTTATTATCAACATTATTCTCATTAGTTAGTAGTAGTAGTAATATTGCTATTTTTTTTTTAGCACTGATGATTATTAACAATGATATCATGATAGCTATTGTTGTTGTTATTATTATCAATTAGTAGTAATTGTTCTTGTTGTGGTTGTAGTATCATGATTATTATTATTATTACCATTATCATTATGATCATAATTATGGTTATTATTGTTATCATTTGTTATCATTGTATTGTCATTATCATTATCATTTTACCACTATTGTTATATTATACATAATAATATATCACTATTATTATTATTATCATCATCATATTTTATTATTATTATAATGATAATAATAATATTTTTATTATATCATTATCAATATTTTGATGAAGATAATGATCATTCTTATAATATTTTTTTTTCATTTTTATCACTGATATAATCATAACATTATTTTCATCCATATTATTATTCATATTGTTATTATCTTTCTCATTATTATTATTATTATTATTATCATTATTATTATTATCATTATTATTATTATTATTATCATCATTATCATTATTGGAATCATTATCATCAAATCATCATGACCTTTTGTTTTGATCATGTCAACCCTGAACGAGGAAGTGTAGAGTGAAGTGTGACATGTCCTGCTTTCCAGAGTGGCATGCGAGGGACCCAACTGCTCCATTTATTACCGTCATGTCATGAGCCTGGGCATCTTCATTCCGCTCATCCTGTCATTTGTCGCTATTTGCCTTCTCTCCCGTGTCAAGCTGGGACGAACGCGAAAACTAGTACAAGGTAAAGTGCTTGAAGATTCGTCTGTTTAGTTGCTTTCTTCCTTTGTCAGTGCATTTATTATTGAAGATTCGTCTGTTTAGTTGCTTTCTTCTTCCTTCTTTGTCAGTGCATTTATTATTGAAGATTCGTCTGTTTAGTTGCTTTCTTCTTCTTCTTCTTTGTCAGTGCATTTATTATTGAAGATTCGTCTGTTTAGTTGCTTTCTTCTTCTTCTTCTTCTTTGTCAGTGCATTTATTATTGAAGATTCGTCTGTTTAGTTGCTTTCTTCTTCTTCTTCTTTGTCAGTGCATTTATTATTGAAGATCGTCTGTTTATCTGCTTATTATTGAAGATTCGTCTGTTTAGTTGCTCTTCTTCTTCTTTTCTTTGTCAGTGCATTTATTATTGAAGATTCGTCTGTTTAGTTGCTTTCTTCTTTCTTCTTCTTTTGTCAGTGCATTTATTATTGAAGATTCGTCTGTTTAGTTGCTTTCTTCTTCTTTCTTCTTTGTCAGTGCATTTATTATTGAAGATTCGTCTGTTTAGTTGCTTCTTCTTCTTCTTCTTCTTTGTCAGTGCATTTATTATTGAAGATTCGTCTGTTTAGTTGCTTTCTTCTTCTTCTTCTTTTGTCAGTGCATTTATTATTGAAGATTCGTCTGTTTAGTTGCTTCTTCTTATTATTATTATTCTTTGTCAGTGCATTTATTATTGAAGATTCGTCTGTTTAGTTGTCTTGCTTTCTTCTTCTTCTTCTTTGTCAGTGCATTTATTATTATTCGTCTGTTTAGTTGCTTTCTTCTTCTTCTTCTTCTTTGTCAGTGCATTTATTATTGAAGATTCGTCTGTTTAGTTGCTTTCTTCTTATTATTATTCTTTGTCAGTGCATTTATTGAAGATTCGTCTGTTTAGTTGCTTTCTTCTTCTTCTTCTTCTTTGTCAGTGCATTTATTATTATTGAAGATTCGTCTGTTTAGTTGCTTTCTTCTTCTTCTTCTTCTTTGTCAGTGCATTTATTATTGAAGATTCGTCTGTTTAGTTGCTTTCTTCTTTCTTCTCTTTGTCAGTGCATTTATTATTGAAGATTCGTCTGTTTAGTTGCTTTCTTCTTCTTTGTCAGTGCATTTATTATTGAAGATTCGTCTGTTTAGTTGCTTTCTTCTTCTTCTTCTTCTTTGTCAGTGCATTTATTATTGAAGATTCGTCTGTTTAGTTGCTTTCTTCTTCTTCTTCTTTGTCAGTGCATTTATTATTGAAGATTCGTCTGTTTAGTTGCTTTCTTCTTCTTCTTCTTTGTCAGTGCATTTATTATTGAAGATTCGTCTGTTTAGTTGCTTTCTTCTTCTTCTTCTTGTCAGTGCATTTATTATTGAAGATTCGTCTGTTTAGTTGTTTCTTCTTCTTCTTCTTCTTTGTCAGTGCATTTATTGAAGATTCGTCTGTTTATTGCTTTCTTCTTATTATTATTATTCTTTGTCAGTGTATTTATTATTGTTGTTGTTGTTTTCTTCTCCGTACGTCTTCTGGGTCTCTGTCTCTGTCACGAATATATAGATTGAAATATGATATAGGTACATATGTATTATTATCATTTTTATTTCATCTCCGTACGACCTCTCTGCGTCTGTTAAGAATATATAGATTGACGTATTTTATCAAATAAGTACATATGTGAATGCAAGTATGTCAAGGTGTTTTAAAAGTATGATGTATTTCGTTTTTATTTAATGTATAAGTAGATGAATACTGAACAGTTGAAGCAGATACTTTTGACTAATTCCCTATATACAAATACAACTATCTCCTTGAACAAGCAAATGCTTTTGATGTTTCTTATTTTATTTTATCTTTTTATTTCCACAGCTCAACAGGACGAGGACGAGTCAAGCGTGAGCTCCGTCCACTCCGACTCCAGTGAGATTCTTTTGTCTCCCGGGACCAGCCTCGGTTATGGCGCCATTACCAAGGCCTAGATTCTTGTGAAAATACATCGGAAATCAAGGCACTTAGAGATGTTTGGCTGTTTTTTTTCCAGCATCGTTTATTTTTTCTATTTATTATAGTCTGTTTTACAGTTCCGTAGGCGGTTTTGTTATCATTTTGAATCGGTTCTGTTGCGCGTTCGAATCACAACATTGGTTCGCATTTTTTTTATTTGACTTATTACTATTCTTTTTGATTCTAGTTTCTTGAGAGCTCTGTGCTGATTCAGATCATTCCCTATAAAAATAAGAATAAAAGAAACACGAAAAATCAAAATGCTATAAAGATAATATGGTTACTCATTAGTTATCTTTTATTCAAATGCAAACGCATTTCCAACATTGCATTCTTCGTTGATCAGTAAAGTCATGTCATGGATTGCTATAGAATACGTGGTAAAATAACCTTGTAAATCATGAACACATCATATCCTCAGTTATTTACGAACTGTAGCAGGTGTCTAACCGATCGATCGACTCTTCACACACACACACACACACACACACACACACACACACACACACACACACACACACACACACACACACACACACACACACACACACACAGTCTATATCTCGCAATAAACGCTTATCATGACTGAAGGGAAAACGAGCCAGTCAAGCAGGGAAAGAAATATATTTTCTCACCCGAAATTTCTATACTTAGTTAATGAACTTGACTGATAATTATATTGTGACTGATGTTAATAATCACTACATTGGGGTTGATTAAAAATGTTAATAAGCTCCTAAATTGGAAATGTTCGAAGGATGGTAATCATTACACTAAAGAACTATGATAATAACTATAAATAGATTTTTAAAGATATAATTAGCAAAGAACTATCATGATAGCTGTGATAAGATTTTTTTAATGCGTATTAAATCCATTATGTTACCCATGACACTAATTAAGATAGACACACATGAATAAGATTACGTTTTTGTAATTGTCGACGTTGCGCATTCCCGTTTTCTTTAACAGTCTGATGGCCTTGCTTTAGGTCCCCATCT